AAAGTGTTATACAAAAATATTCCACAGTTCTTCAATAGAGCTACAGTATAACCAAAACGTATCAAACAAAACTGTATTAAACAAAGGTCTACTGTACCTCCCTGAGTGGTTGCTGTCTACCAACCTACTACCCAGGAACATAGCATCTATGCTACAAATTATATATCTAAAGCTAGCAGGAGACCAATTAACATTTTATGATTCAAAATGTAGCTTCCTTCTAGACCTCCTAATTCTTTTGCTACTACTGCAAATATTTACATGTTCCATTATCACAAACCCACAAGTTGAAAAAGAAAACTAAAGAATGCTTTAGTCCATACTAGTCAATCATTAAGTTGTTATAGATGAGGAATACAGTGGTACCTTGACTTACAAGTGCCCCAACTTACAAGTTTTCCGAGTTACGAGCCGTCACTCAGTCGATTTTTTGCTTTGAGCTGCAGGCCAAAATCCAAGTTACAAGCGAGCTTCATATACGCCGCCACTAGTTGGCGCAGTGAATGCCACAACATCTACCCAGCATCCCAGCGTTTTGTGCTTTTTGTGCAGTTATTTTGCCAAATTTCTTTTTTTCTAACCATGAGTCCTAAGAAAGTAAGTACAAAGGACAGTGCTGAGAAGTGGATGATGATGATGTCTATTGAATTAAAGCATGAAATCATAGAAAAACACAAGAAAAATCGCTTTTGTTTCAATGTTTTCCTTATGAAACTAGTGATCTAGTGCAGTTAGCCTCACAAACACTTCATTTTCTCTTATAATAAAACCTCAGAAGGGCAAGAATGGGAAGATATGGTCAGAGCAATAATTACAGTGGAACCTCGGTTGTCATATGCCCTAGTTTGTATGTAAAACTGTAGTTATTCTCTAAAAAAATCAATTTTTTGTTAACATTTCCCATAAGAAATAATGTAAATCCAATTAATCCATTCCAGACACTCAAAAATATTAACAAAAAACGCATGTAGTTTTATATACAAACTAGGACATACAAAAACCGAGGTTCCACTGTACGTGTACTTTTGCCTCGGGAGTGGCCGCTACCACTCGTCCCATGATGACACATTTTATTCATTCTAGAGTATATATCATGTTTCTATGCTATTTATATTGCTTATTACAGTGGACCCCCGCATACCGTTGGCATCACATAACGTTAAATCCGCATAGCAATACATTTTATCACTAAAATTTTGCCTCGCATAGCGCTAAAAAACTCGCTCGATGCTATTCGTCCGAGACGCGTCTATGTGAGGCCTGAGCCAGCCTCCCATGTTCCGCCGGTGGCATTGTTTACAAGCCAGCCTCCGCGGTAACATCCAAGCATACAATCGGAACATTTCGTATTATTACAGCGTTTTTGGTGATTTTATCTGCAAAATAAGTGACCAGGGCCCCCAAAAAGTTCTATCCCAAACCCCTGTGGTAAAAGGGTGAAAAATGTTATCGAAATACTGTGGTACCGGTCAATGCTGAGCTGCGGCTGATCCATTGCAGTCCCTTCCTGTTATCCCTGCTTGGTCCTCCCCCGTTTTTGCACTAATCTTGTGAGGAACTGTGTCAAATGCCCTTTTGCAGTCCAAGAAAAATGCAAACTGTCAGCTGCTGCTGCTGTGTAGAAAAGTCATGTTGCGTGTGTACCCCCCGTCACTGCGCTGCTGCGTACCCACCGGCTGCTGCGTAACCCTCTGCGCTGCGTTCACCCTCTGCTGCTGCTGTAGCACTGTCAGCTGTGCTGCGCTGTAGCACCATCAGTGCTGTTTGGGGTTAGCACTGTCAGCTGCTGCTGCGCGAGCATCCCGCTGCTGCTGCTGCCGTAGCACTGTCAGCTGTGCTGCTGTAGCATGCCAGCTGTGCTGTAGCACCCTCCTGCTCTGTGCGTACACCATCATCTGCTGCTGCTGTAGCACCATCAGCTGTGTGCTGCTGTAGCACCATCAGCGCTGCGTGCTGTAGCACCCCAGCGTGCGTGCTGTGCACCCTCAGTGCTGCTGTTTTAGTACCCCTGCTGCTGCGTAGCACGTCTGCTGCGCTGTGCATGTCAGCTGTGCTGTAGCACGTCAGCTGCTCTGTGCGTAGACTTCACTGCTGCTGCTGTAGCACTGTCATCTGCTTCTTAGCACTGCAGCTGCTGCTGCTGTAGCACTGTCAGCTGCTGCTGCTTGTGCACCCTTGTTGGTTGGCTTGAGAAAACCAAAAAACAATTTAAACCCCGGGGGTTTGCCCCCCCAGGATAACCCCAAAAAAATCAGTGTCATGAAGACTAACTTATTTCCCTTGGGGTCCTTAATCTTTTCTCCCAGGGTGAACCCCCACCCGTTGACTAACACCGGTGAAAAAGGGAAAAATGCCTGGAACTAGTGTCAATTGGGAATTTAAGCCACAAAGGGTTTTTTGAGAGATTTAAGAAACGTATGGGATACACGTGTGATAAGGGCCCGTTCTGGAGAAAATGCCAAACAGGGGCCTACATACTCAGGAGGAAAAGGCACCCCGGAACAGTGTTATCATCATGCGCATCTTCAATAAAGGAAGTGTCATTTATTCTTCATTTATAGAGTAGTAATGCACAATTATTTGTGCATGTATACGTACTATTTTGCATGATCCTTCTCTTTGGTGTAGGAAATGTAATTTATAGGTAAATTTTTTTTTTTTTTTAAATTTTGGGTGTTTGCACAGATTAAATTTTATTTCCATTATTTCTTATGGGAAAATTCATTTGCTAACGAAATTTTGATAACAACAGTTCCCGGAAAGAATTAAATCTTTCGGGGGGGCCACTGTATGTCAATTTTCAATGTGAAAAAAAATAAGTTGAGAGTTTTATTAGTTTTATTGAAGTATTTTCTCCTGCCTCCCGAGAGCAAGGAATTCCGCTGGAAAGGATTAATGGCAATTCAATTAATTTCAATGAGGAAAACTGATTTGATATACGAGCAAATTGAGTTACAAGCTCGGTCACAGAATGAATTAAACTCTTAAGTCAAGGTAACACTGTACACTGAAAACTAGTAGTTAAATTCAGGTCACACTGTGTTTTTTAAAGATTAGAGCACTTGAAAAAATGTACTGAGGGATAGAAGCATTTACAAAAATAAAGCCATGGCTAACCTTTGATATACCTTTGAAGAATTTCGAGAGTATATCTATTCTCTGAGCCCGGCCATGGGCCAGGCTTGTCTGGTGCTCGCCTGGTCAACCAGGCTGTTGCTGCTGGAGGCCCGCTGCCCCACATATACATCACAGCCTGGTTGATCTAGCACCTGGTGAAGATACTTGTCTAGTTTCCTCTTGAAGGCTTTAGCACTTGTTCCAGCAGTGTTTCTGATATCTTCTGGTAAGATTTTGAAAAGTCTGGGACCCTGGATGTTGATACAGTGTTCCCTTATTGTCCTCACCGCACCCCTGCTCCTCACTGGGTTTATTTTACACTTCCTCCCGTATCTCTCACTCCAGTATGTTGTTATGGCAGTGTGCAGATTTGGGACCAAGCCCTCGAGTACCTTCCAGGTATATATTATCATATACCTCTCTCTCCTCCTCTCCAATGAGTACATGTTCAAGACTTGCAGGCATTGCCAGTAGTTTAGGAGCTTTACTGGCTCAATGTGAGCTTTAATGTGGGGGCGTTGTAAGGGAGGGGCGCCCCGGGTGACACCAATTAAGGGGTGACACCACAGAGCCTCTAAAGAAGGTAACACTATTGCCCAAAACTATGCTGCAGCAACTTAAGAGAAAAATCCTTCATTTCTAAATTGCCTCTTATATGATTACAGAGTACAAGTAGGCCTATATAGGGAAAATCATTGATTCTGATAATGTGATAGATGATTTTGCAGGATTGAAGGAAAGGAAATGTAAGATCAGATTCGTTAAGATGTTACCTGTACTCAAGGTCAAATTGGAACTAGTGTTTTTCTTTATTTTTCCTTTTTTTCATTGTTGAAGATGAATAAATGTAGGATCTGTTGCCTGTACTCAAAGTGGTATTTGAATTTATGTTTCTTCAATATTACTATGATTATTTATTTTATCATTAATAAAGTTCAGTTTATGGTCCTTAAACATTCTCATCGCTAAATATTAGTCACTGGCCATGCAGTAGTGACATACCTGGAGTTTACTCCCCCATTCCCCCGCCCTTGGATTTCATGGAGGTGACACCAAAGATGCTGCTCCAGGTGACACCAAAGATTCTGCTCCTGGTGACACCAACCCTAGCGATGCCACTGGGTTAATGTTAGAGATGCTGTGTATTAGGACTAATTTATTAAGCGAATGCTGCATGTGGCACAATGGTGACCTTAAATGATTAGTGTAAATAAAAAATCAAACTACCTCTGGCTAGCAATACTTAATATTTTCCAATAGGCAGGGTAGGCATTGTCCTTGAAAATGGTGGAGGGAGGGGGGGGGTAAGGAGGTTTTGTGGGCAAGAGGCTTTTACTTCCGGCAAGCATGTGTGAGTGTGTTAGATAGGAGTGAATGGAGACCTGACGAGCTGTTGGAGTGTGAGCTGGGTAATATTTTGTGAAGGGATTCAGGGAAACTGGTTAGCCGGACTTGAGTCCTGGAAATGGGAAGTTTGGGACATTGGCAGTTCAGAGGGACATAACTGTCGTATCTGAGCGCCTCTGCAAAGACACTGTTTGTGTACGAGTGATGGTGAAAGTGTTGAATGATGATGAAAGTTTTTTTTTCTTTTTTGGGTCACCTGCATCAGTGGAAAACAGCCGACATGTTAAAAAAAAAAAAAAAGTTTACTTCTCAGTTTATAAACTGGTAATTGTCCAGCTTATTTTTCAATCATTTTTCAATCAACTGCAGCGCCAGAAGCTTTTTACTCGTGCATTCATTCAGCTACAAAATGATCTTTAAAATTTTGCAAAATAGACTCCAAACCCAATTTGGAATAAGAAAAAAGGTATACAAATACTGTCCAAAATGTAATGGCAAATAAATATAAAATACATTGTACTGAAAACTGTAATTACCTGTGCTTCTCTAAAAGCCTGACTCCAGCGAGATGATGGCCAATTATCAACCTGATCAAGTGTGGTGTAGGTGGTGACCACAAGGTTGGTATTTTGCTGAATGGCTTCTCCTGCACGAACAAGTCCTGGTCCTGACCACCCAGTGATTAAGGTTCGTTGCTCTTTACCACCTTGTTCTTTGCTAGAAATATACAAAGGATTAAACTAAGGATGAGTTACCGAAAGTTTTTTCTATCACAAACAGCAGGGGGGGGGGAGAGGGAGAGAGAGAGAGATACAGAGAAAGAGAGATAGAGATAGAGAGAGATAGAAATAGAGATAGAGATAGAGAGAGACCGGTTACAAAAGAAGCATACCAAATGCTATAACCAACAAAAATTTTAAATATTTATACATTAAATTATGTTAGATTAAATACAGGTCTCCCTCAACATTCACGTTTTCAACTTTCACGGGTTTCACACATTCGCAAATTCCCAACCGCCAAATTCCCAGCCACCAAATCATATTTAAGTTTCCCGCCACCTGCGAGTCCCTACTACCCTCCCTCTGACCCCCGCAACTGGCTGCCAGCCCTCCCACCACTCAGTGTGGTGAGTGTTTTGTTTGTTCATTATTTGCTATTAAACTACAGTATAAATAATGTAAACCCATTCATGACTGCATATTGGAATGGCTATTCGGACAGGTATTAGACGGTGACATCATGTGTTTACTCTTGAACACTGCAGAGAATTAAACATTTCTGCTACAGCTAATAATAACAATAGTAATAATAATAAAATAATAATAATAATAATAATAATAATAATATAAATATGATATAATTGAGAAGGAAATTGTACAAAAATACGAGGGAGTGGTTGACACATCGTCAGTGTGACTTTGTTTATGCTGGAGTGAACATTAGTCTCCCTGCTCTTCCAAACATTTCACAATAATTCATTGTGTTTGGTGCTTGTAGATTGAGTGTGACTGGAGTGGTAGAGGCAGTGATTGAGGCAATGGTATTTAATAACATACATGTTAATAATAATACATGTTATTAATAATATGTGCTATTATTATTTATAACATATATGTTATTAAATACCACTGCCTCAACCGCCGAATTATTGTGAAATGTTTGGAAGAGCAGGGAGACTAATGTTCACTCCAGCATAAACAAAGTCACACTGACGATGTGTCAACCACTCCCTCGTATTTTTGTACAATTTCCTTCTTCAATTACAGTGGTCCCTCCTTTTTCGTAATTAATCCGTTCCTGGAGGAGCTACTATAAACGAAATTTACGATTTGCGAATCAATTTTCCCCATAAGAAATAATGTAAATACAATTAATCCGTTTCTGACACTCAGAAGTATTAAAACAAAAAAATTTTTTTACATGAAATATACATGTAGTACATAAACAGTACAATGGGAAATGATGAATGAAACATTAACAGCATAACACTTACCTTTATTGGAGATTCTTCTTAGTGTATGGGAGACTGGAGGAGGAGAGAGATTGGATTGTTTACAGTTTGGAAGGGGAATCCCCTTCCAGCAACACCTCAGGTACCAATTGCTTCTCTGGGGTTGCTTCTCTTCTCTGTTTCTTAATGCCACTAGGACCACCTTGAGAGTCACTCTAGTCCTGTCTCGCAAAGTAACTGTGGAGAGAGCTCTGTTTCTGGCGTCTCTTTAACACTTCCCTAAAATGGTACAAGACTTTGTCACTGTACATATTTCTCACCTTCTTTACCACAGGCTTGGCACTAGGAGCTTTCTTTGGAGCCATGGTAGCTTATTTAGTACTTGCAAGCACTAAAATGAGTGGAATATTATGAAATATTTCGTAGGAGCACTTGAGGGGACCTTCACTCACTGGTAAACAATGCCAGAGTGGCTGGGTAGGGAGGCCTCCCCTGCTCACACCGTGCATAAGCGTCCTGAACGAACTACTATTCGCGAGTCAACCTATGAAAAGCGAGTCCATGTTTATACGAAAATACCCCTATGATTGGCGAAATTTACGATTGCCGAGAACTACGAAAAGCGAGGGACCACTGTATATAGTATTTATTATTATTATTATTATTATTACTATTGTTATTATTAGCAATAGCAGAAATGTTCGATTCTTTGCTGTGTTCAAGAGTAAACACATGATATCACCGTCTAATACCTTTCCTAATAGCCATTCCAATATGCAGTCATGAATGAGTTTACATTATTTATTCTGTAGTTTAATAGCAAATAATGAACAAACAAAACACTCACCACACTGAGTGGTGGAAGGGCTGGCTGCCAGTTGCGGGGGTCGGAGGGAGGGTAGTAGGGACTCGCAGTGGTGGAGGCATTGGTGGAGGCAGTGATATTTAATAACATACATGTTATTAAAGCATAACATGGATATATTTAGTACAATTTACGACGTTTTCATGTATTTTATGATTATTCATGGTTCAACAAGTTAAGGAAGCAGTATTGTAATATATTTCCCTACAATATATTGGGGCACCAAACATTCACGGCTTTTCAACATTCGCGAGGTTCTTGATCCCCTAACCCTCGCGAATGTTGAGGGAGGCCTGTACTGAAGACATGTCAACATAAGATTAATTCTGCTCCTATACTCATAAATAGGTACTGTAATTACACTCACACTTGCTTGTGTCTCCGATATATTACGTGTGGTACTATATATGCTACGGTCACTATAGAATTTCATATTTAATATAAAATTCTCTAGTGACTGTAACATATATAGTAATACTTGTAACTCTTCAAGTCTCATTTCCATGCACTACTACTATATTAGTAAACATACACATGTACATATACATATACATGCGTGAGCGTGTTAGATAGGAGTGAATGGAGACGAATGGTACTTGGGACCTGACGATCTGTTGGAGTGTGAGCAGGGTAATATTTAGTGAAGGGATTCAGGGAAACCAGTTCTTTTCATATAGTCGGACTTGAGTCCTGGAAATGGGAAGTACAATGCCTGCACTTTAAAGGAGGGGTTTGGGATATTGGCAGTTTGGAGGGATATGTTGTGTATCTTTATACGTATATGCTTCTAAACTGTTGTATTCTGAGCACCTCTGCAAAAACAGTGATAATGTGCGAGTGTGGTGAAAGTGTTGAATGATGATGAAAGTATTTTCTTTTTGGGGATTTTCTTTCTTTTTTGGGTCACCCTGCCTCGGTGGGAGACGGCCGACTTGTTGAGAGAAAAAAAAAAAAAATACATGTACGTACTTTCTGACCCTTTCTCCTGTATAGATCACTAAATGTGAAAAGAAACACTAGTTTTTCTTTATAGGTCAACCTGCCTTGGTCGGAGATGGCTGCTGCATTAAAAAAAAAATCTAGCACTGCTTTACTTATTTAGCAATTGTTCCCCCTTGTTCTTCTTCTGATGTGCACATGCAAAGAAATGCATGTAAGGCTGTATGTCTTCATGTACACCTACCATCCGACTTACGACCGAGTTCGGTTCCGGGAAACCGGTCGTAAGTCGAAATGGTCGTAAGTCGAACTTTACTACTGAATATCTACAAAACATTTTTGTAATGACTATTTTATTGTTTTATTTTGGTATTTCATGTTTTACTTTACTTTTTATGTTGTTAGTACTGTATTTTATACTGTAAGGTTTAGGATAAACAGTGTGTACAACACAAATAGTTGCTTATTTCCCAGAAATTTGGCATAAAAAACACGGTCGTAAGTCGAGTGGTCATAAGTCGAGCAGGTCGTAAGTCGGATGGTAGGTGTATTTATTCATGTCTTACCTGTCAAACACACAAAGAAAAACTATGTTCTCAAGAAGTACCTTCGGGTGAGGTGAGCCAGCTCTCGAGTCACCATGGTGATAAGGAATGTCCTAGTGGAGCGAGATGCCAATACTGAGAGTGTGTTTCGTCGTAGGCAAACATCCACCAACTCCACTTGATACTCACGAGGAGTAAATATAGTTGAGTGAACATTTTCTGGTTGTACCCGGTTCATCTGAAAATAATTTAGATTCGTTTGAATTTTTAAAACCAATACAAAACTTTTTAATGGTATAACAATTTAAATCTGCAATTATGTGAGAACCCTTCTTGTTATATAGAATTTCAAAATTGATCTTTGAAACTTATCTTCACTAGCTCTGACCTTTATTAAAATTCAAGCCAATTTTTCTATAGTACATAATACGTACTCTCATGGATTGATAGATACACTCACATGAATTAAAAAGCAAAGTTACCTTAACATAGCTAAAAAAAAAAATTATTACTATTACGTATTCATACAGGAGGGCCCCGCTTTACAGTGTTTCACTAATACAGTGGTTTTTTATTATACCCATTCTTCAATTATTCAGACATCCTATAATAAATATATTCACCACTCACTATAAGTACAAAAATATTTTAAAGGGATGTATGCATGTACTGTATATGCAGTGTTTAGGCATAGCTCTATTGCTTACTCAATATATGATAGTGTAAACATGTTATCAAGCTTTTATATGCATCTGAAAAAGAAAAAAGGCCATGTTTCACTTCAGAGCAATTTTCACTTGACAGCAGTAGCCCAGAATATAACCTGCTGTTTAAGTGGGGCCTGCCTGTAATTTAGTGTAAGTAGCTTAATGTGCTTAGCTCAGATTCAGTCTGAATTACAAACTTTGTAGTGTTTAGAGATTTTTGAAGTTACAGCAAAAATTAATGTACACTAAGCTTGATAACTAGATCATTAGACTGACAAAGGCCCCAGTGGGCAGAACAGTTTTCAAATAGATGCCTATTTTGTCTACCTTATTCATCAATACTAGGCCTCAAGAGTAACTCAAACCTTTAAGAGGAAATTAAAGACATTGTTTCTGGCTGTCCTGGACCATTATCAAAATGATCCTTGCCAAATATGCTAAATAGGTTTTGGCTTGAAAAGAATATTTGTAAATAAATTTCATCCGAATATTACTACACACATTATGTAAATATCTTCCATTAACAGTTATTAGACCGAGATTTGTTTCAAACACTAACATAACTAAAATAATTCTTTAAATAAATAACCAAATACATATACATACATGATTGTGAAAAAAAATTAAATTACAGTACACCATTCCACAAGGCTGCCCTTGTTCCACAAACTTTTTGCTTAACAAATATTAGACAGATCAGAACATGTTTAGAGGTAGCTATCTGATGCCGCTTCTTTGGTTGGCGAAGTTATCCAATTACAATAACTCCAATAACACTGGATGTCATATGGCCAAGTATGAGGTGTAAAATATAATTTTGCCTACTGGTTCTAATTCATGTAAACTATATGGTACACAAATTAGATTTATGCATAATGCAGGCAGGCTGTCAGAAGAATGCAGTATTATTTAATTTCACTTATCATTTTAGGGTAAATATATTTAAAAATACAGTGGACCCCTGGTTTACGATATTATTTCATTCCAGAAGTATTTTCAGGTGCCAGTACTGGACGAATTTGTTCCCATAAGGAATACAGGTCTCCCTCAACATTCACGTTTTCAACTTTCACGGGCTTCACACATTCGCGAATTCCCAACCGCCAAATTCCCAGCCGCCAAATCATATTTAAGTTTCCCGCCAATTGCGAGTCCCTACTACCCTCCCTCCTACCCCCGCACCACTCAGTGTGGTGAGTGTTTTGTTTGTTCATTATTTGCTATTAAACTACAGTATAAATAATGTAAACCCATTCATGACTGCATATTGGAATGGCTATTCAAACAGGTATTAGATGGTGACATCATGTGTTTACTCTTGAACACTGCAAAGAATTAAACATTTCTGCTACAGCTAATAATAACAATAGTAATAATAATAATAATATTAATAATAATAATATTAATAATAATAATAATAATAAATATGATATAATTAAAGAAGGAAATTGTACAAAAATACGAGGGAGTGGTTGACACATCGTCAGTGTGACTTTGTTTATGCTGGAGTGAACATTAGTCTCCCAGCTCTTCCAAACATTTCACAATAATTCGTTGTGTTTGGCGCTTGTAGATTTAGTGTGACTGGAGTGGTAGAGGCAGTGATTGAGGCAATGGTATTTAATAACATACATGTTAATAATAATACACGTTATTAATAATATGTACTATTATTATTTATAACATATATTAAATACCACTGCCTCAACCGCTGAATTATTGTGAAATGTTTGGAAGAGCAGGGAGACTAATGTTCACTCCACCATAAACAAAGTCACACTGACGATGTGTCAACCACTCCTTGTATTTTTGTACAATTTCCTTCTTCAATTATATCGTATTTATTATTATTATTATTATTACTATTGTTATTATTAGCAATAGCAGAAATGTTCGATTCTTTGCCGTGTTCAAGAGTAAACACATGATGTCACCGTCTAATACCTTTCCTAATAGCCATTCCAATATACAGTCATGAATGGGTTTACATTATTTATTCTGTAGTTTAATAGCAAATAATGAACAAACAAAACACTCACCACACTGAGTGGTGGGAGGGCTGGCTGCCAGTTGCGGGGGTCGGAGGGAGGGTAGTAGGGACTCGCAGTGGTGGAGGCAGTGGTATTTAATAACATACATGTTATTAAATAACATACGTTATTAAAGCATAACATGTATATATTTAGTACAATTTACGACGCTTTCATGTATTTTATGATTATTCATGGTTCAACAAGTTAAGGAAGCAGTATTGTAATATATTTCCCTACAATATATTGGGGCACCAAACATTCACGGTTTTTCAACATTCACGAGGCTCTTGATCCCCTAACCCTAGCGAATGTTGAGGGAGACCTGTATTGTGAATTAGATTAGTCCATTTCAGACCCCCAAACATACATGTACAAACGCACTTACATAAATACACTTACATAATTGGTCGCATTGGGAGCTGATCGTAAAGCGGGGGTCCACTGTATATTGCTTAAAATCACATTAAAATGAATGTGAATTCTGAGACTACAATAGTTTTAGGTTATCTATGAAAGATAATACATATGCAGTACTCGCCACATTTTTTATCCAAGATACTAGCCATAGATAGGCAGCTACCACCTGATTCTGGGAACTTTTAATGCATATGAATTTCATGTTGACTATCACTTCTTACCCAAGTGGTATGAGAACGAGATGAAGACATCTTTTTGCTTACTGGCTGGACGATTTTGCCAGAGGTGAATCAGTGTACCAGATTATTTAAATAACAAAAAGGCACAATACCGTGACTGGAACGATACACAAATAACCTGCACATAAAAGAGAGAAGCTTACGACGACGTTTCGGTCCGACTTAGACCATTGACTTTGTCAATACCATGTAAAGGCTCAGTGTAATGAATTTCAATTTAATCAATTTTGGATTTAATGTACAAAATCTGGACAACAGAACAAAGTGTGTTGTTTTCAGAATTGTTCTTCATTGTTTTGATCACAGCAACATACGTCATTATCTGGATTTAATAATGGGTATTATCTGACACCCTTCTCCCATATTAGTCTTTTAAACTGAGGTTTCACTTAAATGATGGGTAAATGATTGCTAACTCTAAATATTATCGGGTATGTCAAATATTTTGCATGTACACTTACTGGACATTGTAAAATATAAACAACCTTGTGGAGAAAGACATTTCCAACATTAAATTCTTGAGGGGGGCCTCCCTACTCAATGTAAGTACGAGTTGCACAGGTTGCAATTCTAAAAACTGGCACCTTATGAAAAAATAAGTTATGTGGAATGAAGGATACTGTACTATGGTATAAACCTTGGTAATAAATACCGACAAGTTGGTTTAGAAAGACACGTAAGCAAACACTAACATATTTATTAGAAAACGTTTCGGTCCTGGGACCTTGATCACTTCTAACATACAGAGGTAGAAAGACATTATATATATAGGCGGAGAGTGAGATGTGACGCACCTGACCTGAGGAATGTCATAAGAACATAAGAATGGAGGAACACTGTAGAAGGCCTACTGGCTCATGCGAGGCAGGTCTTTATCAAAACAACCTCTACCTATGATGAGGACGGGTAGACGATGAAATCATGTGACTCCTGTGTTGTTGGGTTGGTGTTGCTTAAGTATCATGTATGCCACTCAAAAACATTGGCATACATGATACTTAAGCAACACCAACCCAACAAACGGGGTCAATGATTCTCATCTACCCGCCCTCTCAGGGGTTTAGGGGTTTGTTTTGTAAAGACCTGCCCGCATGACCCAGTGGCCTTCTACAGGTTCCTCCTTTTATGTTCTTATGACTTTCCCTCAGGTCAGTGCGTCAATTCATCTCCCCCTATATTTATACAGTGGACCCCGATACCGGACGCCTGATAACGGACAACCCGATACCGGCGCTTGATCGCAAAAAATTTTTTGCCTCGTACCGCCAAAAACCCCACTCGGGCCCCCTTCGCCCGGACGCGTCCAATGTGGGGCCCTTTGGCCACCCTCATATGTTCCCCGGGGGCATTGTTTCCAGCCAGCCTCCCCGGAAAACTTAAAGCATACTCGGAATATTTCGTATTTTACGTGTTTTGGGTGCTTTTCTGGAAATAAGTGCCATGGGCCCAAGAAGTTCTGTTCCAACCCAAAGCAATAAGGGTTAGAGTTCCAAATAGAGATGAAAAAAAGGATCATTGTAAGTATGAAAGTGGAGTGGTATCACCGAAGGTCAGGTTTGTACAAGAAACCAAACAACCATTCTACTATTGTGGGCAACAGAAAGGCAATCAAGGAAGTGTTTTGCCAAAGGTTTTTAAATGGTTTTCGAAAAGAGATCGCAAGTGATGGAAGATGTTTAGAGACTCTTTTGGTGTGGAAAAAAAAAAACAGCTACAGGGATAGCGTTTCTCAAGCGTATAAGCGAAAAGGCTAGGAAGTTGCATGAGGATTTAAATTTAAAAAAGACCTGCAATAGTGATGATGTGAGTGAATTTTAAAGGGCCCGCAAAGGTTGGTTTGAG